TTCTCTCAGTTCGCTTGCATATGTTGTCTGAAATAGTTTTTCAGATTGTGGATTCTCTGGAAATATCATCTCTGGTAGGTTATTCAATTTAAACATTTTCCTTAATTCCTCGTTGTATGATCCGGGTGCAATGATATTGTGCAAATGTGCATGGATCATACTAATCATTACCTTATCATGTATTGGCTCACTTAGGTTTAATACTGTGGATTCTGGTCTATGAGCCTCTTGGACCGCTCTCTTTGCTATTTCGACGTATGTCGTATCCTTCTTGTCTTGTTCCTTTTTCCTTGTTTCTTGTTCCTTGTACTTTATCATGTGTTTTTTTATTGGGCATGCCATTGCTAACGTCCTATGTCCTACACTGAATGTAAGAATACACATGTTGGCTGTCTCAACTGTAAGAGACGGCAGGTCACCACGAGGTCAGGTCTTAAATAGCGGGGGTAGGCGTGGCTTAGTAGTTGACCCCCGCTTCGTGATGTATGGCGGCGCTGGTTGACCTAGACCACGAGGCATACACTGGGGAATTGGTGGGGTCGGCTACTCAGCGACAAACAGCGTTTGTAGGGGAGAAATCCACTACAATAGCTTCGGACATAGGTTGGATGGATAAACTTGACCAACAATGGCGCATGTCCTACCTGCCCTTTGTTACAGATAAATTGTCATCATTAAATGCCCAGATACTTGCCAACAGTGCGCAAGAGACGTGACCGATCGCCCAAGAGGCTAAGAAGCCGATAAGTGGTGAAGAGGACAAAAAAAGTAAAAGTAACAATTGAGTGAACATCTGACTGAATAGGAAGCCGACAATTTGTGAAGAGGATAAATTGAAAATTATCCAGTTCAATATATACGAAAAGGACAGTGAATGTCGTAACAGCACAGATGTGCGAAACAGAAGTAGCTAATAGAATGGAGGTGGTTGCTAAGAGGAGTTATGCTGACGTATTAGGAGGGCCACGGGGGGGGGCGGAGAGTAATGCAGAATCAGTACAGGTTCTACAGCAGATTGGGACTCTGAAAAAGTGTGTCGAAGAAATGAAAATTAACGCACCTACTGTTAGGGGAGAGGAGGAACACCAGGAACGGCTCCAGCGCAGGAACAATGTAATAGTTTTTGGAGTCCCAGAGAGCCAGGCAGAGGGAACTGTGAGTAAGGAAACACACGACAAGGTGCTGTTTCAAAATATTTGCACAGAGGTTCTGAAGATTCCAGCAACCCCTCAGGATGTGAGGAGACTGGGACAAAAGCAGGGGGCTAAGCCTCGCCCCCTCAGGATCACACTAGGGAGTGAGGAGGAGAAATGGCAAGTTATCCGGCAGGCAAAAAACTTAGCAAGGAGCGAGGCATTTCGGGATGTATTTATTCACCCAGACCGCACGGTAATGCAGAGGGAACAGCACAAGAAGCTCCTGCTGGACTTGAAGCAGAAGAGGGAGGAGTCGAGGAGGAACGGGGACAGGTGCACATGGGTTATACTCAGGGGGAGGGTAGTGGAAACAAGTGTGCCGACACAGGGCCAGGGGGCAGCAGTGCACCCTCCACCCACTCAACCCCCCACCCGGGAGGCGGCACCAGCTCAGCCTACCGGACAGGAGGGAACGAGCGCCGTGTAAACAATGACATTTTTAACCACACCCTGCAAAATACAGTGTACTTAGCAAATGCTGCAGCTTCTGAGAATGTGGGTGGAGCGGGTTTATTACTAAGAGCAGAGACGTTACCGAGAACAAATTCTGGCTTGAATGTCATGTACACTAATACTGACACGTTCCTTGATAAGAGGGAGGAGTTTGAAACACTACTAAGAGTACACCAACCAGATATTGTAGGAGTTGTAGAACTGTTGTACAAGAACAGGAGAATCGACCCAGAGGAATGTGAGTTCAGTATTGCTGGATATGACTCATTTACGAACCTAACTCAAGAATCCTGCAGGAGGGGTGTGGTTATCTACGCTAGGCAAGACCTTAGAGCCAGCCAGGCGAGGGTACAGGGAGAGGATGTTTTTGAAGAGTCCAAGTGGTGTAAAATTAAATTAAAGGGAGGGGACTTACTTATCGTCGGGTGTATCTACAGATCCCCGAACTGTGGCCCACTAAATCAAAGGAACTTAAGAACCTTAATAAACAATGCGGCGATGCTCAACCCCAGCCACCTCCTTATCATGGGGGACTTTAACTATGGCGACATCGACTCGAGAAACGAGTCAACCCCAAATGACTTGAATAATCCTGCTACTCTTTTTGTAGAAACTCTGAGAGATAATTTTCTGTTCCAACATGTGAGAGACCCGACACATTACAGAGGGGAGCAAACACCCAAGCCACTTGACCTCATCATAACAAACGAGGAGGGTATGGTGGCCAAACTGGAACACCTTGCCCCAGTTGGCACCAGTCACCATACAGTGTTGTCATTCAGATTTAACTGTTACCTAGTTCAAGATAAGGCCAGGCCAAGGTGCAAATATTACAAGGGAAATTACAATGGGATGAGGGAAGAGATGAGGGGTATCAACTGGCCTGACTTATTAAGGTACAAGAACGCAGACACTACGCTGAATATCATAACTAGTAAAATGACCCATTTGATCGATAAATATATACCCAAGACCAAACCCAGTGCTTCTAGGAATACGAGGGGATCCCTACACATGAACCATGCGGCGGTCGACAAAATTAAGAAGAAAACCCAGAAATTCAAGACGTGGGTTGGGTCAAACGATGAGCAAGACAGGAGGATGTATGCAAGAGCCAGAAACCAAGCAAAGATAGAGTGTAGGAGGGCTGAAAAGGAGTTCCAAAGGCTGGTTGCACGCGAGGTCAAGTCAAACCCAAAGGCGTTTTACCGCTATGCAAAGTCGAAATTGAAAACGCGAGTAGGAGTATCAGACCTGAGGCTTGAAGATGGTAGTTACGCAGATTCTGACCAGGATAAAGCTGAGGCATTGAACAGCTTCTTTTCCTCAGTGTTCACAAGAGAGGATGCAACTAACCTTCCTGCGTTTGAGGACAGACGGTTCGACACAGCACTGACCCACATTGTGTTCACAGAAGAGGGTATTAGAAATAAACTGTCCAGGCTAAAGGTCCATAACAGTCCTGGACCTGACATGGTGCATCCTAGAGTGCTAAGGGAGCTGTGCAACGAGCTTGCAGAGCCCCTGAAGATTCTGTTTTGTAAATGCCTGGATGAACAAATGGTCCCCAGTGAATGGAAAGTGGCTTATGTGAGTCCTATCTTCAAGAAGGGCGATAGGCACTCCACAAACAACTATAGACCGGTGAGCCTGACCAGCATAATATGTAAAGTACTTGAGAGTCTTATCAGAGATCCCGCAATGGAACATCTACTACGAAACAACCTTGTAAAGGATTGCCAACACGGTTTTATGCCGGGGCGCTCTTGCTTGACACAATTGCTCAAGGTATTGGATATTTGGACCCATATTCTAGAACGGGGTGGTAATATCGACAATATTTACCTAGATTTTGCCAAGGCTTTCGACAGTGTACCCCACGAAAGGCTGAAAATCAAACTGGAAGGGTACGGAATTCGGGGAAATGTCCTAGCGTGGATAGAAGACTTTCTACATGACCGCAAGCAATGTGTGGTGATTAATGGCACGAAATCGTCATCTGTACCTGTAACAAGTGGGGTACCGCAGGGTAGTGTATTGGGCCCGCTGTTGTTTGTTTGTTTCATAAATGATATGCCTGACGTTGTACACTCCTCCATACAAATGTTTGCCGATGACGCCAAGTTATTTCGGGAAATTAAGAACCAAGCGGACTGTGAAGAGCTGCAGAAGGACCTCTGTGGGCTCCAGGAATGGTCGAAGGAATGGCTGCTGAGATTCAATGTCACGAAGTGTAAGAGGATGCACCTGGGGCGTACCAACGGTAAGGAGGCATACCATATGTCCCAACGGGATGAAGAAAATATACTAGTTGAGACTGTGTGTGAGAAGGACCTAGGTGTGTATGTTGACAATGAGCTGAAGTTCTCGGGCCATTGTGAGAAGAAGGTAAATCAGGCAAATAAATTATTGGGTCTTATAAGAAGGTCGTTCAGATATCTAGACGGTCCGTCCCTCGTGACGATCTTCAGGAGTGAAGTGCTTCCCCATCTGGAGTACTGTCACCCCATCTGGTCCCCGAGATATGCTAGGGACTGTCAGTTGGTTGAAAATGTTCAAAGGAGGGCCACCAAACTGGTGCCTGCACTTCGGCATCTCAGCTACCCTGAGAGATTGGAGCGCCTGAACTTGCCTAGCTTATACTACAGACGGGCAAGGGGGACCTAGTTGAGGTTTATAAGCATCTCAGGGGGCACTACTCAGTTGAGTGTCCTTACTTGGAGCTGGCGGACGCTCGCCCCACAAGGGGTCACAGCTCAAGATTGAAGAAGCCGCAAGTCCAGAAAACCGTGAGGGCAAACTTTTTCGGAGTGAGGGTTGTAAACTCTTGGAACAATCTACCAGAGAGTGTTGTGACGGCACCGAGTGTGAGCTCTTTCAAGACCAAACTTGACCAACACTGGAGCGGGTTCAGGTACATTCAGGAGCCGGTGCATGCCCAGTATTTGCCAACAGTGCGTGACAGAGACGTGACCGATCGCCCGGGCGGCTAGCGAGCCGACCTTTTGGTGAAGAATATAAAGGAAAAGAGACGTGACCGATCGCCCAAGCGGCTAACAAGCCGATCAGTGGCGAAGAGGATAAAAGTAAAAAAAAAGTAAAAAGAACAGTTCGAATAAGCTAACAAGTGGTGGAAATGATACATGAAAAAAGAGGCGATGAATGGATAAGTGTTCTCTTGTGAGTCGCTGGTGCATTTTTGCTATCTGAGTTTCCTTTGAATTCATTGTAGTAATACTTTTATACACTTGAAAAATAATAATTCATAATTTGACGTGAAAAGGGTAATAAATGGGTAAGTGATCCCTGTTAAGTTACTGGTACGTTTTCTGTGTGTTATGAGCGACCGGAAGCAGCCATCTTTGGACCAGCTGAGCCACTTGTGACCCTCCTCCTCCCTAGCACCTCGCTCGCTCCTCCCCAGAAAATGACTCCATAGTGGCACTCGTTGGGCTCGTACTCGTTCTTGCATGCAGATGCAAAAAAATCCTGTGAACTGGGCATAAAGCTAGGGGAGTTTAGAAGCATTGGCGGCGGCTATCATCGCGATTGTGACCATAGCCGATGACGACAGATAATTATGGGACCTGTCAATCTATAAAAGCTGAGCTGTTGTCCCCCCTGCATTTTTATTAAGTTACTGTGAGGCGTGAACGACTGGATGTGTAACAGGACCACCAGTGGATGACAAAATGAAGAAGCTGTTTCAGAGGATAGATCAGTCTAACAAGGACCAGAGTCACACCAGTTTCCTGGGCAAGGTGTTTGTGGTGGGTCGTCACACTGTCACCGTCGAGGAGGTCATTGCCGAGGGTGAGTCATACATCTAGAATTTTTTACTTAATATCATAACACATATTCACATAGGTACAAAATTCGGTATTATTTCACTTGTTGCCACTAAACGAATCTCGGGAATGTTATAGTTGAAATCAGTAGTTTTGACAATTCTAAGACATTTTTCTTCAATGGCATATCTGGCGCAAATTACAAATAAGCTTGATAGTTTAACAATTGGTGAATATGTAGTATCACACCGGTCTTTATTTCCGTATTAAAAGTATGTATCTCTTAATATTTACACAATTCTAAGACATTTTTCTTCTATGATATTTCCATCGTAAATTAAGGATAACCGAGGTATTAATTTTTCAAGATTATTACTTTCGCTCAGCCGCAAGTGTCGCCATGATTTGTTACTTGTGGCGGAGGTGGTCTGACCCCCCTGCTCACGCATCGCTCCAGGCCTCCGTCTTCTTTCTTTAAGCATCTGGGGCATGAACAATGGGTTAGGTTAGGTTTGCTTTGTTGGTTGGTAATATAATTTATGGGTATTATTTTACTTTTGGACATAGCTCGCCTGAAAATTATAAATTACTCAAACATTTGGATCTCCCTATTCTGAGCATTTTGAACCCCATAGTATATACATGGCAGAAATGGATAATAGTGACACAATTGAATTTAATTGATTTTAGGAACTTTTCAGTCTTTGTCAGGAGATGTTACTGGCGTGAAACTGAGTTAGTTGTGGATCATGCAGGCGCAATATTGACTGACATCATCCAGTTGTGACCAATGATGTATCGATATCGGCCCGCGAATTTTTTTTTTACCAATCACATTAGCATTTTTCAAAGCAGCCTGGGTAAGGGTTTGAAAATCTATGGCTTGGAAATTCAATGACCAGTGTGACAATGGCTGTGGTTGAGGTTGGGTGTCAATCGTGCTCCTACGATTATTTTAAGTTTATTGCCGAGTTTTACGTAAAAGGCGATAAAGCTATAGAATTTCTACGTAATGACAGTGTTCTTCCTAATTGTTAATTTAAACAATTCTGAGACACTTTTCGTGGCTAATATGGAGGACTTAACAGCCTGTCTCAGTAACAGTAAGTTTGCTAGGTTAGGTTGGGTTAGTTTAGTTTAGTTTCGTTTCGTTTCAGGAGTTAAGGTTAGGTTAGATTTGGTTTGGTTAAGTTAGTTTATCCTAACTTGAACTTTTAAATAAACAGTTTTTAACACATTTGCCATAACTATGAAATTGTCCTCTATAAAACACAGTGAAGTTGCGGCATTTATAAATTCGTATTTTATGAAAAGTCGGTGTTTGTGAAGTCATAAGTAATTACCCTTTTCTTCAATGGCATTTCTGGCGGAAATTACATTTAAGCTAGATTTTTAGCATTTTATTATATATGTTCATACGTGGCGGTACACACCCAGAACATCGAACTACTGTGGTGCTCCCCTGGTTAGGTTAGGTTAGGTTAAAAACTGTTTTTCCGGTGATTTTATATTTATTTTGAACACTTTTTACCTTATTTTGGTAAATTTATAGTATCACACTGGTCTTTATTTCAATATTAAAAATAGGTTTTCCTATGTATTTTGATGAGTTTCGAACGAATTTGATTTTAATTTCCACCGGAAATCACGTGTTTTGTAGATTACCCCCCCTCCCCCCCCCACCCAACAATCATAATGGGGAAAGTTGGATTTTTTTAATAAATAACATTATATTACCAACCAACCAAGAAAACCAAACCTAACCCCCTGTTGGAGGCCTGGAGCTATGTGTCAGCAGGGGGTCAGACCACCTCTGCCATAAGTAAACAAATCATGGCCACACTTGTGACTGAGCGTAAGTAATAATCTTGAAATTTTTTTAACTCAGTTATCCTTAATTTATGGTGGAAATATCATAGAAGAAAAATGTCTTAGAATTGTGTAAATATTATGATACATATTTTTAGACGGAAAAAAAGACCGGTGTGATACTATATATTCACCCTTATTATTTATAGCATAACACATCAAAATCCATTGGAAAAACATAGTATCAACTTCGATTTCTTGTAGTGGCAACAAGTGAAAATTTACCCAGAATTCTCATAAATTAATGTACAGGCAGTGACAAAACAATATGCCATCTCAAACCAAGAAATCCTTGAGGCTTTATTTATTTAGTTTAATTTAATATTTTTTTTGTGAGTGGGAGTTACAACCCTACAGATCAGGCACACCTCACACCAGATCATAGCTGATGTTAGGTGCTGCTGAAACTGGGACTGTAACAGCTTGTGTGAGGTGTAATTAAAAGATGGGTAATTTTTAATTTAAATCCAGGTTATATGTGGACAAGTTGAGGTTGATTACCATTTTAGGATATGCGAGGTCAAAGTCGTGTGTCATTTTTGTAAATCTTAAGTTTATGGCCTTCGCTTTATATCTTGATATTGTTTTATGAAGTGGTTCTGTGTTTGTAATGTAGAGGCTACCTAGCCCACAGGCTCTGTGTGTGTAATGTTGAAGCAACCTAGCCCACAGGCTGTGTGTGATGTTGAGGCTACCTAGCCCACAGGCTATGTCTGTAATGTTGAGGCTACCTATCCCACATGGCTCAACTCGAGAACTGTGGTTGGTCAAAACTACAAATTGGCTGTATTTTACCCCACATTTTCCTTCAACTTCAAAGCCCTGCCCACTTTGAACAACTAATATTATGTGTAATATTGTTAAAATAATAAAAAAATCTTGATTTCCGACACAAACATTATCAAATACAGGTTAACATACTTACTTGTTGAAGGTATTGGATCATCTTTAGGGAGTGAAGAGGCAGCAGTGGTGGGGAGTGAGGAGACAGCAGTGGGGGACTTCTTAAAAAATATGTCCAATTTAGACCGCACAATTTGCCTTTTCTTGTCCCTGTAGCAAGCAAGTGCATCTTGGATCAGTCTGTCAACTTTTGCAAAATGCTCAACATTTTGATCCATTTCTTCAAACATTTGCATCCCTTTATTAATAGTAGCAAATGCCTCTGCCATTTGTTTCACTGAAAACTTTTTGGGGGGTGCAGGTTGTTGTTCTACATTTTGAACTCTCTTCTTCCTCTGCAATTTTCTGTGCCTCCAGTTCAATAAGATCCTCGTTACTTGGCTTTTCTGCTACACTTTCCACCAACTGCTCAACATCTCCATTATCAATTTCTAACTCCAGCTGTTGACCCATCTGCACTCTTTTGTTACTAATCTCAGAAATTGCTTCATCTTCATTAAATCCTTTGAAACTGTTCACATATCTTTTCAGTACCTTTTTCCATATTCCATTCATGCACTGTCCTATAACCTCATCCCATGCTGCAGCTATGTTCTTTGTACATTGCAAAATGTTGTAGTCCTTCCCAAACTCTCTTGAGCGTTTTCTCACGTTCAGTAGCAGCAATAGCCTGAGCGAAGGTCGTACGTAAATAATACGCTTTAAAAGCAGCAATAGCACCTTGTTCCATGGGTTGGATGATAGAGGTAGTGTTAGGTGGAAGGTAGACTACCTTAACATCGGGGTGCAGGTTGTCCAGGTGTGGTGGGTGTCCCGGAGCATTATCTGAAATTAATAAAATCTTGAACGCAACCCCTTGTTGCAGACAATACTCCTTGGCTCGTGGAATGAAGCAACTCAGGAACCAATCTTCAAACAATGCTAGGGTCATCCATGCTTTCTTATTACTGTACTGCGATAAAACACTGGCAGTGTGTGCTTGCTGAAATTTTTAAAAGCCCTTGGGTTCTCTGAATGATATATCAGGAAGGGTTTTACCTTGAAACCAGCTACATTTCTCGCCCAACAGAAGTGTGATTCGGTTCTTGAATGCCTTGAATCCCGGCATGGTTTTCGCCTCTGTGGATGTATGTCAGTTCTGGCATGCGCTTCCAGAAAAAGCCAGTTTCATCCACATTAAATATTTGCTCAGGCAAATAATTTCCCTCCACGATGACATTTTTTCTAACTCCTTAAAAGCTTCGGCAACACCCACATCAGCACTTGCTGCCTCTCCACTCACCTTTACCTTGTGCAAACTGTAACGTTTCTTAAACCTTTGGAACCACCCATGACTTGCTGTGAAGTTTTGGTCGCACTCATCTCCTGCCTGCTCCTTCAGGCTTTCGAAAAGGCTTCTTGCCTTAGCCTGTATGGTTAGAAGGCTTAAGGGCACATGCTTTTGCAGCTGAGCTTCCATCCATACCACAAGTAATTTTTCCATCTCATGAAGAGGACCTTGTCTTTTTTTCCTTATTATTGTTCCCTTTATAGGTACTGATCCTTTCACTACCTCACGAATTCGTTCCTTGTCCTTCAAAAGTGTTGATATCGAGTGAGAGAAGCCAAGGTCGCATGAAATGGTTGCTTCCGTTTTTCCATTTTCATATTGCATTATTATTTTAATTTTCATCTCAAAAGTAATCGATTGTCTCCTTTTCTTATCAGCACCACGAGAATGCCCACTTTTACTCTTGCCAGCCTTTTTAAAGGGAATTAGAATTTTTTTTTTTTGTCAGTACACAGCGTGATCACTAACAACGACGGCCAAACACCAACTGAGCGGGCTACAGCGTGGATGCTGTACACCACTAGGCGGCCCAGCCCACGCTGTTGTATGGGACCGAAACGTTTCGGTACTAGAAAATACGTAATTTGAAAAATATTTTAAACGACCACAGCAGTCATACGTCCGGGTTTGGGCTTGCTTTACGTATTATGGTGTTGGTGAACTAGTAATCTTCCCTAGGAACCAGATGATGAATCGGTACAACTATCTTGAGTTGCTCAGTGATTTCTTACCTGAATCATTTGATAAAGCTAAGACAAGCTTTTTCATGCAGGACGGTGCCCCATGCCACACTGCTAACAGTGTCATACAGTGGCTCAAAGACTGTGAGGTACCTTTCATTATTGACTGGCTTGGCAGTAGTCAGATCTCAACCCAATAGAAAATTTGTGGTCCATTGTGTCATCTGCTCGACACTGACACAT